AATAGATGTCACCAGACTTATTTTTAAAAACAATGTTAAATCATGGAAGATTATAAGTTTATTTCCAGAAAAGGTCAAACCCAACTACTGGGTCAGTCGTCTTAGTCCAGCTGACAACAGAAGTACCATACTGAGAAGAGGTTGGATTAAGTGTAACTGAGCACTGAAACTCCCAACATCTCCTTTCCTCTATTCAGCTCTAAACATTAGCAGCAAGGTTCCCACTTTCAGACAGGAAGCTACAAGATTCCTTCCTGAAAAAACAGAATAATTCAATGAAACTCCACAGATACTAAAAACTGGAACTCTCCCAATGAAATGTTGGGTTACTACTCAATACCCGTGAGACTTAACCAGGGTGGACAACCATGGTAGTTTGCCCACATCTGCTGTGATTTTAGTATAGATGGTCCTAGGCAAACTAGGAAAACTATCACACTAGGCATGCAGACAAGCCCACGACTACATATAAAGTCTCCAATCAGTTTTTCCTATTTTCCTCTTAAAAATGAATGGATGGTAAAAAGATTTGAGGAAACATAAACCCTAATAAAAACAAGTAGAAAAAGGAACACAGTGAAAACCTAATAAATGCAATAAGCTGAAAAACATGATATTGCACCATGGAACAGGAGATGCTGAGAAGAGCAAAGAGAACTGGTGCAGAAGGTAGGTGTGGTGGTACATTGCAGCATTTGGGAGGCTAAGACGGGAGAACTGTGAGTTTGATGTCAGCCTAGCTTAGGCAGAGACCTTGTCTCAAACCAAGGGTTCAGCAGTAGAGTGTTTGCCATTCATGTACAAGGCCTTAGGTTAGGAGTCTCTGCTTTAAACAGGCCCACTAAATCCAAATGCAATGTATGCAATGTCAGCCACACTAAAGCACTTCATTGTAGAATTCCAAATTATTCAAACAAAGAAAAAGTCTCAAAAGTGTTAGGAGTGGGAGAAATGTCATATACAAAAGCTGAGAAATCAGAATGACATCAGAACTCTTAAAAGCAACTCCAAACTCTGGTGGGAAAAAGACCTCTGAATCCAAGGGAAAATGATTTCTAAGCTAGAAGTCTAACCAGCATCTCTTCCCTCTTTCTTACTTTTTCAGAAGTGGGGAGCAAATCCAGGACCTCACTCACACTCAGTACACATTACCATGATGCTACATCTGCAGCCTTAAAACCATTTCTAACATGCTGGATTATTGAAATGATTACTTCCCTTACACTTATCAGGAAATTACTAGAACTGCTGCATCAAAAGCAAAGGAATAAATGGAAGAAAACAAAGTGGGCTCTAGGAAATGACTCTAACCTTGGAGAAGCTAACAGGAGTCCCCAGAATGGCAGCTCTGCAAGAACCTGGACGGCAACCAGAGTGGACCAGGTGCAAAGAAAAAACAGCATTCTGGAGCAACGTGTCCAGAGGATTTCTTTTCACTTCTAGAGAAGAATTTTAGGATAGATGAGTGATCATAGCACAAGTAAAGCAGGAGGAGAAACAGATAGATACAAGCAACTCAATGAAGACAAGCAAAAATGTACAAGAAAGGAAAAGTAATCAGCATACCCAATAGGTTGCACAATATCTAACATAATTAACATAATATAGAACAATATGATACCAGAATAACAAAAGCACTAAACATTGAGGTAATAAAAAACTACGAAGTGAGAAAGCCTGGGAGGGAGGGGTGTCTGGCTGTGTATGGGAGAGGGAAAGTGTAATCATCTCTATGAGGAAATGAACAGAAGATGCTCATCAGAACTTGAGAAATAGCGATGTAGGTATTTCATTTAGAAAGTGTGGGGCCAGCCAGGTGTGGTGGAACACGCCTTCAAACTCAGCACTCTGGAGGCAGAGGCAGGCAGATCTCTGTGAAATTGAGGTCAGCCTGGTCTACATAGTGAGAGCCAGGTCAGCAGCTGGGGCTAACAGGAGACCTTATGGGGCTAGTGAGATGGCTTAGCAGGTGAAGGAACTTGCTGCCAAGCATGATGATGACCTGAGTTTGATTCCCAAGGCTCCATGGTCATTGGCACCCTGACTCCCAACACACACACACAAAAAGTAAACTAAATGCCAGGAGCACACCAGTACACCAGTTTTTAAAGTGTTAAAAATGTTTGTCTCTAAGGATATTTGTTAGAACTAAAAAATCTGATTTTAAAGATCACACAAATGTGTTTTTCTTCCTTCTCTTAATGAAGCAAAATAAAATAATAAACTACTATGAAGACTGAAGAAAAGAAAAGCCGAAAGTATTCTGGAAAAGAGAAGTAAAAAAAAGCACAAACTCTAACAGACACGTAAAGGTACAGCAGCTATTAAAACATGGAAAATACAGGAAGAAGCAGAGGATACAGAGACAGACTCAGCGACAGAAGAGTCTACTTTATGATCAAAATCAGCACTGCTAACCAGAAGGGTAAAGATAGCTTAGCTAATAAACAGCTGTGGATCTACTAATGAGCCATCTAAGGGAAGAGGGGAGAAAACTAGACCCCTTCCTTAGCCTCTGCCCTTATCTTCATTTTAGGTCTATCAGACTTAAAGGTTACAGACAAAACTGTGAAAACATAAGACATGGTAGAATTGTTTTATAATCTTGAATTGGGGAAACTCTTTCTTCATAAAACCCACAAATCTTGAAGGATGAGACAATTTTGACCAGTTTCATGAGAATGACAATTTCTGTACAACCAAATAAACACTGAAAATGAAGTCAAAGACAAATCAAGAAAGATTCTTGCCAGGTATGAGAGACCAAACAGAGTTTAACTTTAAAATAAAGGCTTATTATAAAGCATTAAGAAAAACATTAGTAACACAATTATAAAATGGGTAAGGGTTTCAAATTGACCATTCATAGAGTAACAGCCCCATATAGGTTATTATAAACACATATGTGCAAATTTATAGTGCAAAAAGCACTTCAAGGCCTGCAACCAACCAAGCATCTACCCCTAAAAGTCTATTGACAGTGATGGGAAAAAGTCACTAATGACCTACATGAAAATCACAGAATAAAAACTCTGTAAGAAACTCATCTTAAAATGAGGTGGAAATAAGTTTTTATTTTATTTTTTTTATATTTTATTTTATTATTTTTATTTTATGTGTATGAAGTGTATTGCCTGCATGTATGTGAGTGCACTCATGTAGTGCAATGCCATGGAGGTCAGAAGAGGGCTTTGGATTCCCCTGGAACTGGAGTAAAGGACGGTTCATAGCTGCCATGTGGGTGCTGGGAATTGAACCTGGGTCCTCCACAAGAGCAGTCAGTGCTCCTAAACCTCTGAGCCATCTCTCCAGCCCCGGAAATAAGTTTTTAACAAAGACTAAAAACCTAACCAAAGTATTAAAAGTGGTTGCTACTGACAAGGTGAGTAATATTATTTCCAGATTCTCTACGGTTAAGAGTACACAGTAAGTTTTAAATTGGAGGCTATGACTGTTAGTCTCCTCATCCTGACTTTCAGACTTACCAGGAATAATGAAAACAAGCAGCTTTGGTCTGCTGACACTTGGCTCATCTAAGAGGTTAGTCCAGGGCCCACATTTCACAACCTGGGTTTCAACTCCACCACACATAATGAATTCCTCATGCACAGGGATTTCTTCCTGGATTTCTGAGTCCATTTCTAAATAAAAGGAAAACAAAACAAAATAGAAACAAAACCCAATGTAGAGAGTCAGCATTGCAAGTGTGGCAGTGCACCCCTATAGTCCCAGAGATGGAGGTGGGGACTCAAGGCCAGCCTTGGCTACAGAGTGAGTTTGGGGCCAAGGTGGATTACATGAGACCCTGAATCAATCCCCTCCCACCCCCACAAAAGGCAGTATAATATAAATCTCAAGCTGAAGAGAACATTAAAGAATAAAAATGGGAAATTTCAAAATACAAAGGAGGGAAGGCCACAAGGCCTGTCAAAGATAACAAGACTATTCCGCTATACTGCAGCGTAGGATTGAAAAGCAAATTGAAGCAATCCAGATGGGGGTTACTGAGAAACACACAGTCACATCCTAGTGAAAGACCACAGGGAAGCATGAACCCAAACCAGATTCCCCCTCCCCCTGCTCCTGTCTCCCGTTTGAAGCGACGATGTCCACAGGTAACTTCTACTTTCCCTTTTCTGGAATTCTCTGATAAGTCTATGCTTCACCACTGAGACAGACCCCTCTACCTTCACCTCATGAAAGTTGGTGAATAAGTGCAGAATTCTGGCTTTTTCTCTCCCGAGAGACAGAAGGCCAGTGAGCTCCTTAATGCTGATTCTATTAATCCTCTCCTCTCCAAATTCTGTAAGCACACTATTCGTGTTATGGAAGCACTACAGTATATTAAATTACAAAAGAGGAGGCAGAAAAAACCCTAAGACCAGAGACAGCATGATGCACAATGTTTTGAATAATCTATATATGTGCAAAGATGCAAGCCCAAGTTATTTAAGTAACTCCTCCATCTCGGCCTCTGCCCTCCTTGTCTATGAGCAGCACTGGGTCTCAAAACTTCAGGTCTGTCCTCCTCTTCAACTGCATTCTAAGTTCAAAGTTCTTCTAAGTTCAAAGTTCTATGTTCCAAGTCCTTCAGAGTGAAGACTCTGGCTCTCTAGGCTGTCTTGTCCTTTCCCTAGTGCCCTCATTCTTTTCTGCTCCTGTCACTTTGTTCATAATTTTATTTCCCACCCACTTCCAGCATGTTTTTTCTTTAGGGGCCAGTGATCAATTCATGGCCTTTTATCTCCAAATACTTCTCTGTCCTCACTGCATTCAGAACTCTGATCCTGGCCTATCAAACATTTATTTCTCTTTTGCCAGCTGAGGTGGTATTATGCTCCTCGTGAAGTGGGCGGGAGACTGCGGCACTAGGCAAGTTTTCCTAAAGGTTTCTCCCAAGCCTGAATTTCTTTCCCTTTCGGCTCCTCAGGCCATGAAACTCCCCTACCACAGTGGCTTTCCAACTAGAGAGGACTTTGCTCCCAGAAGATATGTAGTAATATCTGGAGCTAATTTTCACTGACAGAACTGAGAAGAACTACTGACACAGAGCAATTAGAGGCCACAAATGCTGCTCAACATCCACAATAAATTATTCAGCCCAGAAGGTGCAGCTAGCTCTCCTCGGACAGCACTGGCAGCTCTGGAGTACTACTCCAAGTGGCTGGTCCCAGTCCCTCATCTGAGGCCTCAGGCACACACATTCTAGATAGCCAGTACGCTTGACTTTTGTCTTCTACAGCAGCCCAGAACTACCTGCCCCAAGTTGTGCACAGCAGTGCTCCAGGATGCCGCAGAGGGGGTCCTTTATCTTCCAATTTCTGTAGCTTTTACTGTAATGCTCTAGTTCTCTCTGGACTTACCTACCAGCCTCAACTTACCTATGCCCATACCACATGCTCCAGGCCCAGACCTGCAACAGTGTCCTGCCTCTGTGCACACCCTCCTAGCATTCTCTGCTCACCAGAGACCACAATGACTGGACACCAGCTTTGGCTTAGGCAACCGAGCATTATCTCTCTGCCATGTATTGGTAATAAACCAATGTGATGAGATCTGAACCCTCAGTTCTGTCCTTCCTTAGGCAGGTTCCTTCAGCTCTAGGGTAACTTTTAGAGTTCTCTTTACACAGTAACTTTCTAGCTTCTTTCCTATCATAACTTAGTAATGCTTTGTTATACTCACCACTTGTTTCTGCATGGCTCTGACTCCTGGTTTGATTCAGACTCACATATCCCTTATGAGACTATGCAAAGTGTTCTCTATAAATCTTTCCCACCTTAGACTCACCTCAAATTTTACTTCCTACATGAAGCCCTCCTTGAGCACCCCAGGTAAAGGAAGGCTCTTCTCTTCACAGCACTGGTCTTCACTTTTTTTTCCCCCTTCTTTTTTTGGTATGGTGTGTGTTTGATCTATGTATAGGTGCACATGTATGTGAGTGTGTGTGCCTGTGTACATGTATGTAGAGGCTAGAGTAGGACATTCTGTGTCTTCCTTGACTGCTTTCTGCCTTATTCCCTGGAGGCAGTCTGTCACTGAACCTGAAGCTCAGTCTTTGCTAGGTTGGCTGACAGTAAGTCCCACTGATGCCCTTGCCTCCACCCTCAGTGTGAGGGTTACAGGCACTTCTGGCCAGGCTGACTTTTCTGTAGGTGCTAGGGATTTGATCTCAGGTCGTCATGCTTGCATAGCAAGTACTCTTGCCTGCTGAGACATTTCCACAGTCCCCTGTCTTTACCAGAGGATACTGGTAAGGTAGTCAGCCAAGATTTACCTGGTAAAACTTGTCATTCATGTCATGCCACTCTCCTACAGAGCCAAAGTTAAGAAATTTAGTGCAAGTACACACTGTCTTTCCCCAGACTGGCCATCTTAACTAAGGCAAATGCAATGGTGATTATGATGCAGAGAAATTCCACACATTTGGAAACCCATCTGGCAGCATGGGTCAGCACTTATAAAAGGCAAACACTCTGACTTATTTTGAGGAACTGATTCTAAAACAAACAACCTCACAAAAATATTTCCAAAAGATGGATGCATGGAATGCTGTTTATAACAGTGAAAGCTGAAGAGCCCAAATCATTAATGGAGGAAAAGTTAAGCAATTGTGATAAAGCATTATACAGGCACTAAATTTATACAATGACTCAATATTAGGGAATGATAAGACAAACTGAAGTTCACCATTATGATCAAATATCCGGTTCCATCAAGACTGCTTTGCTAAGTTGATTATAGTTTCTCAGTTTTCTTCCTAACGCTTCTGATTTCACCGCTCCAGTCTTTTGATCTATTGTTCTTTCCATTCTCTTTGGTTTTATTACTTTACTGTTCAGTGAATTTAGGCAGGAAGAAGAAATAAACATAAATATTAAAACTTTCATGTTTAACCAAAGGTCTTAAATTTATGTTTCTTAATAAGAATGCTTAGAAAAATGCAAAACCTTTAAAAAGTGGGAACCACTCTTGATTCAAAATGTTGCCTATATAAATAAAAGTATCACTCACCTTTTCATAGAGATGGATCTTAATAAATGTCACTGTAACCCTGTCTCCAAAACTACCACAAAACACAATACCTTTGTGAAGGTTGCCTGACATTTATAATGTGTTAGAAATAAAATTAGATGGAGCTTTGGACACAATATTAAATTACAGTCCTGACTGTGAAGATGCTGGCCACACTCAACACTTTCACCAGAGGGAAATTCAAAGTTATTAAACACATTTGACTCAGAAGTACTTAATTCCAAGTAAATGACCCCTTGGGATTTGATTAATCTCAAAATTTATGAGAATTCAAATAGGTATGGGATTCAAGCAGTCTATAAACATTGGAAAACAAAAGGAATAACTGCAATTCTAAACCGCTTCAAGTAAAACAGGACTGAGAAAGATGGAGCTAACAAGAATTTCTAAAGCATCTTTTATTTCCTTTCACCCATATTTCTGACTTTTAAAGCAATGAAGGAAGAAAATTTTACCTGAGAATTCAAGGTAATTCAGTTCTGCAAGAGTCAAATTATCAGTGAAGAATGGATTGCAATTATATTCTGTTTCAGAGTGATATCTCCACCTTCAGCCTCAGCCTCAGCGATAAGCAATCCTGAATGAAATCAGTTTGATAGGTATTAAGAGTCAGGCTGGGCCCTCTGCTTCCCTGGGTCTGCACGAACCTCAGGCCTCTCTCAGGGGTAAGTCGATTGCGCCCACCATGCCTTGACTCCCCCAGCCTCATTCACCCTCCCATCTCCCCCTCCCATCTCTCCTCCTAGCCTGGGTCCTGTCCCATTCCTTGTCTTGGCACCCCAGACACCAGGGGAACCACCACTGCTTCCAGATCCTTTGCATCTAGACCAACCCTGTTCCTTCTTGGTCCCCAGGAGCACTCTGGGCCTGGTCCCGCCCTCACCTCCCTCTGCTTCCCTGGGCTGCACAACCCACCAGCCTCTTTCCTGGATGCAGGGGCTGACCTTTCTGCTTCCTGATCCTTTGTATCCAGACCAATCCAGTTCCTCAGCGTAGTCCCCAGGAGCCCTTGAGGCCTCTTCCCACCCTCATCTCCCTTTGCATCTCTGGGTGGCAGGGCCACCAGCTGCCCTAGATCAGCATCTTTCCTGGGCCCTGCTCCCAGGCCGGTCCAACCCCCAAATTCCTGAGGCCAAAATCTTTCCTGGAGGGATCCAGGCCTTAGGAGAAAGCCTGAGAGCATCTGATCCTCATCTGACTTGGGCCTCTGTGGGAACTCCTGAAAACAAAAGCAATCCGGCTACTCCAGTATAAAATCACCAGCTTTTCATGCCCAAAAAGTAAACCACAAGGACATATAAAGTTTACAAAAAGGAAGCAGACTTAAACTTGAAGGCTTGAGTTTCACACAAGAATCAGAAACTACAAAAGAAATTTGCATGTCAAAATCACAGAGAAAAAATAATAACATGAAAAAACAAAATAACATATCCCCACGAAATACCAATAGTCCTCTAGAGAAGTACAATGAGACCCCCATAGAGATAATGCAGGACATGGAACTCAAAAGAACAATTATAAACATGATAAAACATTTCAG